CTGCCGTTGAATATACGCAGTGACCTACACCCGCCACCGTTGACGCCGTTGTTGCAACTGCCGCCGTTGCATCAACATCGAGCCAGCATCTGACGACCATCAACCGCTGTCAGTACGTTATCTCAACAACAACTGCCGCGACGGGTGTCTGTCTGAGACTCTTTCCCTCTTGCAACAAAAGGGGACAGATCATATGCAGGGGAATGAGATAGAGAGAAAGAAAGAGCTTTTACCGGTGACCGCTTCAACGAATTTAATCCTAGGAATCGGTCTCGCCGCCTCGCCGTTTCAAACATCGCGGGAACCATACCATAAATAGGATGAATTGGGGAAAGTTAAGCTGTTTAGCTATTGGATGAATCGTATTTTATGGTATATCAAGTTGTTTGAAAGGATCGTAGATAATGGAGATTGAAAAAAAGTTGAGAGGCAATGTATTTTCAGAGATAATACTTTTTCAATTAGATTTTCTTTTGCGCATGGCTCGTTTCTTTCGACAACTTTTCATCATGTATAGAATAGTATAGGATTCGAGATGTTCAGTATGAATTTCTTTCGAACCTTTACAAATATTCAACTTTTCGTCAATGAAAAAATTAGGTAGAAACGAGAATAAATGATTGCGAAATCGTGTTATGTACATTGATAGAAAGATTAAAATTTAATGTTGAAACTGGCCTTCAGTATCGTCTTGTTATAAAATGAAACCATATTAATTAATGAATTACAGTCTCTTTTTCGAATCAGGTATTTGCCTTTGAAGTATCGAAGTTAAGTATTGAAATACTTGGTAGAAATTTATGGTGGCTAATGTGTTCTTCCGATTCCATTAAATATAATACAAACTATGTATGTATATCCATTATCAAAAACGCTACGAACTTTCAAAACAACCTAATATTTGGATTGAAAAGAATAAGTAGGTGATTGTTAGATAATATTTTTTGAATTCAATCGATGTGATATTACGTTTGATTAATTTTAATGTAGGATAAAAATGTTGAAATTGTATTTTAGGAAATTATCTATCGGTAGGAGGCGAAAATAAGATATGTACCTTAGATTTGATTTTCTGTCCAAGGTATTGAGACAAAGATTTTGATAATACTTCTGATACGATTCTATATACAATACTTTACTAATGGTATGGTTATTGCGAAATTGCCGCAAAGATGACGAAATTCTAGTCAGTCATTTTTCAATTAATTGAAGCTCCACTAACGATATCGGAATACGTAGCATAAGAAAATGATTATTATTAGAAAAATTGGTGATTTCGTGAAAGAATCTGTTTCCTTGAAACTTGAAATAAAAGTTTCAAAATATAGTTCTGAAAGATCAGCAATTGAATAAAAATTTATTTTAAAAAATCGCAAGCTAATTGTATTCCCTCGAGGACGGAATTCGAGTGCTTCCTATTATGTCTATGCTCTTCCACTATTTTAACAATCACGTGTTTTTCTCACAAGCTCGGCAGAGATATATTTCCTACACTACAAAATTGTTGATAATACGAAGTTCTTCCATTGAGTTGTTTCTATGCAAAAAGAAAGAAGACAGAATCTCGTCACGAATGCGATCAGGCGGTGAATTGATTCTCAGAAGCAAGTGTTGTGCATGTACAAAGAAAAATAACGGGATGTGCTAGTGATTATGTGTTCCATAGCCAAGAAGCATTAACAAACAAACCAAAAAAACGAAAACAGAAAAAAGAACAAAAAAAAAACAAAAAAATAAGCACGTGAGAGAGGGACAGAAGAGAAGAAAGAAGAAACTATATATATCTGCGTTCACACTGCTACAAGGAAGAAAAAGAGAAATATATATTATGAACAAAATATATACACACCAAAAGACATATACACAGAATAAACACGACTTTTTTCATTAAGAAGGCATTTTACAATTTGTATATAATGAACTATAGATATTACACGTACGAATCTAGGTGTACGGAATTATGGCGTTTCGATCTTACGATGTGTATAAGTACATACTTGCGAGACAACATTATATTATTTATCATGTGAGTGCGCGGATACATGACAAAAATCCCATTCTCGATTTTCCATTTAAACTACCGTTTAATTAAATGATCCAGATCGTTGAATGATCGTGGCCGTAAACTACGTAGAACTCTAGCTACTGTAGATCTCGTCACGCACGGATGCTCGATCGGGAGAAATTAAATTTAAACCAAAATAAATAAATAACATATATATATACATACATACATACATATATACATATATACATACATATATACATACATATATATGTATGTATATATATATATATACACATACATATTATCTAACGAAGATAACCAATCCAAAAAGCCGTAGAACACGAGAATTAAATATCGTCCCTTGATCTTTATTGGTTACAGTTTACCTACGAAAAGTCAATCCATCGAGACACGAAGCACGTATTTCCGAATAGATAAACGCGTCATACTATAGTCGAACACGAGCGGAACAATTCTCTTGCCTTTTATCGACAAGTAGAACGTATTCGAGTATTTTTAAGACGTACACACTGGATTGCACACACACGCGTAGCGTAAGTAGTGAAACTTCGTTTGCCCTCGCTCGGTCTACCGAGTGAATTTCAAAACGGCCGGCAAAAAGGAACCCAATGTGACAGGCACTTTTAAAGGACGTTCTTTATTTTCATCCGTACACTTCGTTTCATTCTATCGTCCCTTTAGTTGTCGTATCGCGTCACTTTCGTTACGTATCGAGGCGCAAGTTCTTCGTCAACCTTTAGACTCATACTAGATTTATCAACCCTTCAAACGCTGCAAGAATAAATAACACGCGATATCATTTCCTTTCTAAGAGAATCACAAACATACTATTTGGAATAGGCGTTCCATGGAACGCTGTAAAATTTGCAGAAAAATTACGCTATTTTGTGACAAGAGGGTTGAAAAAATTATGCCGTTCAACTCTCTTCGATGTTTATTATCTCACATCCAACGGATATATCCTTTCGAAATCGACGTACTTAAATCATACTAACAGTTCATAAGTTATAACGTGTTTACGAAGCTTAGGGGTTAAAGAAAACGATGAACCGTAATTGAGGCTAAAAGCGTCAATGACCACGTAACCGGAAGTACACGCGATTCAACGAATCAATCATAATTATTAAATGTTTTGTTTAACCACGTGCATCCCAAACTTATCGACAACAGTTGTGTTTAAAAGAGGTGACGAGAAAAAACTCGATGAATCGATACACTTGCTGTGTCTTCGCTAACACTCGCTACGACAGAACGAACAAACGAATTCCATTTGTAACATACTAGGGTAGGAACAAACAATGATCACGTTGATTGGAATAAGAGTTCGCACGATTCATTTAAAAGAGCAAACGCGAACATGTGAGCATCATATGGAAACGAATTTGAAAAATCTTATGGATGAAAGTCTCATTTCACATTCTTTCGATCGAGGAGAATTTCATTTTGTACGCTCCTCCCAACCGAAGAAAATGATTTTTGATCGTTTACACTAATTAGCAGTAAAGAACGGTAGCCTTTTCGGAATTATAAATACCAATTACTGACCTCTCTCCCTCTGGCCCCGAATCTAAGATCATTCATCAACCCTCCCTCCCACTTTTCTTTCATCCAATTATCATTAAATTAGAAATTTATTACATAAACGTTTAAAATGAAATATTCCCCAGCGAGAATAAAGTTTCTAATAATCAGATATACATTTTTTTATTCTCAAATGGACGTTAAAGCGTGTTAAGATAATACAAGGATCATATAGACTTTCATATAATATTATACTTTATACTTGTAGCAGGATTTCATAAAAAATAAGTGAGCTTGTATTAACCCTTTAACACCTTCGAGTCTGTAGCAAGGTTACGAATATTTATTTCGTCTTTATCGTTGATTTTTAGTGTTGTAAAAGACATGTTTACGATACATAATGGAAACGCTTATGCAAGAAAAAGAGAAAGGAGAACATTCGTTTAACGATAAATACCGACAGTTTGTCACTAAATTAATAAGTAATATTGCATATCTGTCTGTTTCACGTCTTAACTTGTGGCGATCATGACGAGAACAGTTAGAATGTAAAAAGTGTTCCGAAGGTAGCTGATTATTGAATTAAACAATAACAAAATGGCAAGAAGGATAAAAAATACATTCTGTTTGCCATTAATAGATAAATATCGATGAAGGACAGACGAGTATGGAAAGAGCTTGTTTATATTACCGATCGATTTTGAGTGGCTTACTAGAAAACGTGTACTGGTATAATTAACGAAAAAAAGAAGAGAAAACACAAAAAAAATTAATCAATCCAAAATGTTCCCACAAAATGCAAGCTCAAAATATTATAATGTCACGAATTATATTCAAGTGCCATTGTTTTCTTATGCATGTTCGAATCCTTGTATTACTTTGGTAAAATGTATTATTAAAAAGCAAGTAAAGAATGTATCTTGAAGTCGATGAATAACGAGTTCTAGATAGTGTTCATTAACGAAGTTTCATTAATAGGCTATAGTCTATAGCATACGATCTGTAATAACATCGGTTTGCCACTTTTTAAGCCTTCAACATGCTTGAAGAGTTTGCAGGAGTTCCCTTTTTTAATTTGTAAAATTCATCGTATTAATCGTAAAGAATAATCAGAAAAGTAAATAGTACATAAACATGTTCTTAGACAACTTTAGTAAATCAACGGTGTCAATACGTCATTCACCTTTTTTTACGTACGATATACAATTTTTGAAGATTACTGCAGTACAAATGGCCATAAACCCAAACAGAATTCACTGATAATTGCAACTCATCGCGAAGGTTTATCTTCGGCGTGGAACATTCTCTTTTTATCGATTAATCCCTTCTGTGTAAACAGTTAGCTATAAATTTACGTGTTCACAACCCCTGTTGGTTTCGTATCCGACTTGAATACAAAAGAAACTACATTTTCACTGGTAGAACCTAACGGATACGAGTAATTGCAAAACTGACGAAATTTTACTAATGTAAACAATATCTTGCATACGATAGATATCCGGCTCCTCGTTTAAAAAGGGAACTATATATTAATGACTAATTTAAAAAAAAAAAACGATTTTCCAAGTGGTAGCTCATACTATGAATCGTTAAAGTGTATCGAAATTTAGGAGATGCGTAGCCGGTGTGAAAAAAGATTATACCGTTCAAAGTCAGACATATGCTTCGTTCAGATCGCGATAGAATATTGCGTTTTCCTATCATCCTTCTCCCATCGATGTTTGATCATTTTAGCTTATTAAAAAAACGAGGTCTTATATCGATATGGTGTGAAATGTATTAAATATGCATAAATTGTCAACGATCTTCGACCAACGCTAGCTTAATTAGTCCCAGTATTGCTGGATAAGCGAAACGACGTTAAGACTTAACCAACAAAAAAAGAACAAAAAAAAGAAAAGCGAAGTTTAAAAAATCATCAGTCGTTCTGATCCCTAATAAAGAGAAAAGCGGTTGTGAAATTTTTGCATGGTGTCTGACGTTTTTCGATATATAATGGCTCAAAGAATCACGAAGGTTACTTATCATTTATACCTCTTTAGCATAACGTAGGATTGAATCAATCGAACATTTCAAAAAAAATTCGTATTATTCGATATGTAGTAAGAGATGAGACGGTAATGTATAGTGTTTAAATGATTTAATAGGCATCGATTAACAGACACCATTGTGAAGGAAATGGGAAGAACGCAAGAATTTTCATTCCGCTTGTTTCCCAAATTCGAAGATTCGATCAGTTGAATTAACGTGTTAAGTACGTTGATTGGCTTAAAAATTCAACGAATCATTAATCGGCATTTGAAATTTGAGAATAAAAATTGAAATTAAGAGGACGTGTTATGTTTAGTATTTCAACAATTAATTGAATAGTATGATAAATCCATTTCTTCGATCTCTTTTACATAAAATCCATGGTAGATATATAAAACTTACTTTTTCTGGCCTTTATACCGATATTTTTGAATCTTATAATCATAGCAATGACATGTTCTATTAATTTCAATTTAGTACGAGCGATAAACTCGAACTCTAAAATGCATGTACGTATGATATACACGAATATATTCTGCGGTGCGGCGAGCCCGCAAAATTTCAACTTCCCGCATTTTTAACTTTGTATTAGTAGATAACGAACACGATGATTAATGTTACCTTACACGAATATAAACAATAATATTTGTAATAGCTGTAAATTTACATTACGACAACTTGGAGAGGTATGAGATTAAACGAGAAAATTTAGACACACATTCACGCAATTTTTGCTATTATTGTTATAGCATAAAGTGTAAGTAAAATAGTTACGAATTTAACAAATTAATTAACAACTAATTAATTAACTATATATGAGCATCGAAATAATACAGTTTTATCGCGGTTTCATTGACAACGCAGATTATAAGCTGCGAGAGAATTAAAAATCGAGCAAAAAAAAAATGAAAAAGAACATTAAAAGCTGAACGCGAGAGAAAAAAAGAACAACAAAATCTGGCGTGTTGCATTTTCGAGGTTCTTTTAATAATTAGTCCTCCTATTAATATTTCGACTATGACTTTATTAATTTTTTCTAATCGTATCGCCAAGGAAACTATAGTAAAAAATTTGATATCCAGTATGTAGATGCGTCTATCTATTCATAAAATAGTTTGATATTTTTAAGACCGTTAATTTCATCTGTATCCTTCGCCAATTGAATTCAAAAATTAGTTCCTTTCTCTACAAATTTGTACTGTATATAAATAACGAATGTGAAATTTTATTAGAAGCGTTCACAATTCGAAGAAGAATACCAAATGCCATCTATAAAAGAAATCAATAAAAAGAATTTCAATAAATTTAAACTCAAAACTCTTTAAGATGAATATAATAATAGGAGGATTAACGAAAGCTTTCTTCAGATCGAATCGTGTTCCAAAGAAATATCTTATTATGCAGATATGCAAGGCTTTCACTTCGGTTTTCATTCTCTCTTAAAATTAATGAAATAAAATATGCAAATCTGTTTATAGATAAGAAGGAGGAAAAATGCCTGGAAATACTGTCACTTGCGATAATCACGATTTACTTGTAAGATGCGAAACAAGGTCCTCGTTGAAAAAGAAAGAGAGATTACGGAAATAGAAATCCTAATGGCTTGTACGGGTACAATTTTCTCGAAAAAAAAAAAAATCGAAAGGAAGAAGACCACATATCCCTCGTTTTCATGTATTATAAATAATGCACCGTCGTTGCAAGGATCTTTAGAAGATCTTCCTTCCCTTCCCCATCTGATAAAAAAAAGTATCGAAAGAAAAGAAAATTAATGTTAAACGAAATAATAAAAAGCAAAACGATCGAAGAGATAATGCGAAGAAAATAAACACGGTAACAGCATGCGTGTGATCGAAATCGATTCCCAAATCTGCCTGCATACACCGCCACGTGTACCGACGTTTAAGTGGATCGTAATTTGTAAATTACTATGGACTTCCTAATTATATGCTGGTATATGATAATACATGTGCTCTGCCACAATAAAGCAGTTTTTTTTATCTAATATGAATGCCGTCATTTTTCTCCCAATATACCTAAAAGAACTTACCTCAATACATTTAAAATACGAATAAAACAAAATAAAGTAAAAAGATACAATTGTCAAAAAATTAAGGAAATTGTGCCATTAAAATTTTATATAACCTTCTCATCGTCACCATATGATTTCCATCAATGCATTATTTAAAGAATAACGCAAAATAGATTTTTAATTTAATGCAGAAAAATGATATAAAAATATGGTTGTAGATATTCGTTCAGTGTCGTTTTAGCAATCCAAAATGTTTCTGCGTATATTGCGAAGATACTCTATCGGAGAACCGGGTTGTAATTTAAATCAGGTTGTCATATCAAGTTCACACAACCAAGGGAAAAAGCAAGGCAGGTCATTGATATCTTTAACAGCGTGAGGGTAAGTTACACAATTTCAACGACAGAGGAACGTGGCAGCACTGTACTGTTTCTGTTATTTTTTGCATGGATATGTCGCTTTTATTCAGTAACATCAAAAATTCATGTCAATTTCTCGTTGGATAAATTTAAATATCTGTCGATAACCTAAGATGCATTACATAACTACCTAGTTTACAAATATTTTTCGAATATATTAGTATTTTACCAAAATTAAAAAGTTAAAATTCATGCAACGAAACACATGTAAATTAGTATACCTAGCCTAATTAACATTTGCACTATACAATTTGTTACATCCGTAATAATAATTATGGACTTACTACACTTTTTAAAAATAAGCAATTTCATTATATATAATTAATGAAGATAAGAATATTTAAACATTTCCTCGTGTAAATTCTTTTTTCTTATAGCTAGTTGTCCAAAGAGCAATCTCATTTTGCGTAAATAAAATCGTCAACAAAACATGTTTCCTACTATTTCCGAATAAGTCACGTGACTATTACCGAATACTTACAAAAAAAATTTGTAATTCGAAAAGACATGAAATACACTTAATTTTTGAAGCAATGAACGTAAATTCATTGTGAATTCATGAAGTTTTAATATAATGTTAACGTAACTAACAATGAGTTTCGATATATTCTTCATAAAGCTCCGATTTATTCTTACTGTTCATCGACAAGCGTACGCTGTCTGTTTGATCATGCGTGATTGTATCCGCGCGTAGAAGTGGGAGTAATTGTGCATGAAAATTTGATAGGTTTGCATTAACTTGGCCGACCTCTTAAACACCTGGGCGATCAATCAGTATATATCAGAGGCAAGTCTAACATACACAATACTCTGTACACTTTATACTTTCATTATTTAAAATGAAACATAAGATCGACCAGAGATTGTAGCCATCTTGCGATGTAATTTAATTATATAGTAAAAATTTGATAAAAAGATAAAATCAACTAAAAAACATAATAAGTACCGTGAAAATTTCAATTTCTCCGATCTGGCAATAAATTTACGGTGATGGTGCAGTCCATCCATATTAAATAACAATGAATTCGAAAGGAAGGAATCTCCGTAATGTTCGAAACTGTCGTGTGTAAAAGCTGTTGGCTTCGAGCGCGACGTGATCGATACGCAATCGTTCCGCCGAGTATCTCCGAAGTTAGCCGAGAGAGTCGAAGATAACCGAACAGCCACGAAGTTGGCCGAGTTACAGTGAGCAAACGACGCGTACCGAAGAACGCGGGGTCTTCTCCGGCTTGGATTGAAACATCGTTCGCGTCTACGGGCGCGGTTTTGCGTCTCGAGCTGGCGTTTTACACGGTAAAATGTCCTCCCTCGACTATCTGGACCTGTGTCGATTATGTCTTGTGAAGGATCGTGTTTCGGTGCCAATTTTCGAGGGTGAGGGAGACGTACGGCAAATATTTCTCAAGATCGCCGCTTGCCTACCGGTCAAGGTAAGCCAACTACGCCATCGCTTCGACAATGGCGATCCGCCATCTTGTGCATTTTCATAGATACACCGCATTTCCTTAATCGTCCACGACTTTTCGACCTCCCAGTAGATGTATTTGCCTCCGATCATTTTAGAGATCGCCCTATAGACAAGAAATTTCATACAGTTCCAGACCATCGATATCCAAATAGCCATATTTCTGGTGCTGTACTGTTTATCTTTTCTTTTCTGTTCATTCTCTCCAACTCATCCACGACGCTACGAATTATTTAATAGAATTTTGCCGCGCTTTTTTCCGTACCTTAATGTATTGCGGATCTACCCAAATTTTTTCATCATCGTCTGAATAACAGCCCGTTGTTATTTTCATTCGAAAGTGACAATTCACAGTATTTCTTTATTCACAGCAACTATAACCGAATAATCTTCCTTTTCGACATCTTGCTTTCGACATCATTGTTTCTATTATAAAATAAGTACCTATAATTGACTATTCGTACTTTTTGAAGTCGTTCCATTAATAGTTGTTTTCAATGTTGCGACATAATACTTTGAAATTGCTTTTGTGAAAAAGTTCGATTAATTTAATTCTTATATTTATTGTTGCAATTATTTATTTACAGATTTTGAATTTGGTAAATGATTCAATGCATAATAAATAAATAATAATTATTTAGAATCTGTTTTGGTTGAATATTTTCTGGATATTATTTAAATGAAATATGAATCATTTACATTGATTTATTCTTTAAATGTTCCCAACAAATGTTTTAAATTTGTTATTCAGTATTACTATGATTACTAATTTATCTTATGACTTATGATTTGTGTCATTCATAATATTCATGGAATATTAAATTCGCTATAGAAAACTACTTTCATTATGTACATAAACATAAAATTCATTATAAATTGTTTTTTTTTTACATATGATTTCAGCTTACAAGAGAAGATAAGTTACCCAAAAAAATATGCGATGATTGTGTGTATAAAGTAGAATTATTTTATCAATTTTGGAATACTACTGCGAACGCAGAGAAACAACTATTACAATGGCTGGGAGAAGTCAGTTTAGAAGACAAACAGGGTTATGTTACCAATGTTCTCAATACGGTAATTTTTTTTCCATATAATATTTGTTATTATATTCGATTCATAACAAAATCTAAAAGCATAGATAGTCTTTTATTTTTTTTGGCATTCAGTTCCATGTTTACCTTAGTTACTGTTACTGTTACTGATAAAAATATTTAAATATTATTAATCTTTACTTTCGTAAGTTTTTTAATTGTTCAATTTATTGAACTTTGCTATTTCTAATTGACATTCATACTTAAAATGTCCGTTAGTAATTTTGTTATACTTTAAAGTAACAGTGCATTTGAAGGTTATATTTTATTTGTAGTCATAAAAGATGAAAAATATTTTTATTTACTTATATGAAATATAAAATATTTGAAAATAATAAATAAATTTTGTTTCTTATGTTCAATTACAGAGTGTAATGAAACAAGAACAGAATTCAGAGAACAGGTTAGATGGCAATGTGATGCAGCAAGTGGGAGAGCATCAAAACAATATGGGGATGGCTATGATGGACAACATGGGTTTGGGTATACCCATGATGATATCAAGTGCTAATCAACAACAAATCACCTCAGTTCCTATGGACACAAGCAGTAATACTGTACAAACCGTTCAGGCAGTACCTGGTCCAAGTTCACAAACCACACATAACCAAATACCGCAGAATCAAACAAGCACTACGCAACAAGAAGATGAAGAGGAAAGTAGTGAAGATGATGAAAACTCTGATGAAGATTGCGACGGGGATGAAGGTAGGTTTTATAACAAAATCTTTGTATTTTTCTCCTTTCCTTTCCAAATTTTGAACATCTGTATAAAAGAAATGAATTTATGTATGTTTCTATCCTCTTCCATTAGGTCTACCTGTAAAAGAAGAAAGTGAAGAGGATCCCAGCAATAGAACCATAGAGCCCACAACCTTTGTAAATGTTTCCCTGGCATGCGACGAGGCAGGTCCTTCTGGGCTACAGCAACAAAAAATATCAGATATGCCCGAGATGCCAATCCCACAACCAACTGACGGGGATCCCAAATCTGGGTGAGTCTTTTATCCGTATGTTACATCTCAAGAGCCAAAGATGCTATTTTGTTGTGGTAATCGCAAACATTTACACAGACATTTTAATGTTCATTTACATGTACATTAAAACATGTATATGTAATTTACATGTTCATAGCTTTTTTCTTTTAACAAACTTCAAACTTGTATAATTTGAGCCAAGTTACGTGTTTTGATTTGTGATTACTTGATTCCGATTACTTGCACAGTGACTTTTATTGAAAACATTAGAAATTTGTATATTTATAATATTTCACGTAATTTGAGTCTGAATCACTTTTCTTTCTTTTGTATTTAGGAGTTAAATATTACTATCTAAAAAAACATTTTATGTGTCCAAATTAATCATTTTTCAATGTGTATAATATTTTAAATAATAGTTTATTCACATTATTTTTATTCTTATTATGGTTGCATGTACTCTGTATAGTTTTAATTTTTGACTTTAAGATAAAAGACACTTTTAATTTTTGGTTTTGAAATAAGATACATAAGAGTTAGCCACCTAATTGAAATAAATAAGGTGCAGTGGGATGATAAGGTAAGTTAATACACACCCCACAACCATCTTTGGCTCTCTGTATTTTGCAATTTGATGTTTTCTTCAATATTTCAATAATTGACTTTGTATTTCATTTCAACAGAACTATTTAATTATGCGTATAGCATATTCACATTTAGGTAAAATATCAGTCTTTTTGTACAAGGGTGTGTTCACTTTAAAAAACAAATTGCAAAATACCTGAATATTCTTACATGTGATAGCATGTACTTAGAGTTCATTTCAATAAGAATAAGTGAAACATAACATTTGAAATTCTGATATCGCACACATTGTTTAGATTCGACTTTGTTACAACTTTCCTATTTAAATGAACTCTGTCCTAGTTATTATTGATACATGTACAATAAATGGACAGAGGGATTCTACTAATTACGATCCAGTCTATTAACACCTGTACGACCTGTTTTTTAACATGTACGTAAGTGAATCAATTGTTGTGTAGCACTTAACACACAACAACAGGTATTTAATCCCTCTGTTCAATTGAGAACCAGATGTTTACATGTTGTCAGTATCAATATCCCACGCTTACGTGAAGGCACAAAATGCCGCACACGGCTAACAATAGGCCGACCAAAAATCACAAACTAATATTTCGTAAGCTAACGTCACGATATAATAGACGCTTGGTGCATAATAAAAGTGTCACCAAACCGTTATGATTCGTAAAAAGAGAAAAAAGAAAAGAGAATCAAATACCGTTTCTTGTCGTCTTCGTGCTTTCCAATGCCTACGCTTTTACATTATCGTCAGGACCACAGTAACATTTAGTATATCGGTTAGTCTGTAAGTGCTATCGTTCTGTTAATTGCGCACAACACCCGCTGATAAGTCGTGTGGTGTTCTTGCCACGAGTTCGGTTTCAATCAATACCACTTGTGGCTGGCATTCATGTTAGGTGCCGGTCCAAAACAATCGAGTGTTTTACGAGCAAAAATAAGTTCATTTAAAACGAAAAAAATAAATTAATTAGAGTAATAATTAATCGAGATGTGACGAAGAATCGAAGAATAATCATCGTATTGAGAAACATGAAGAGGACTTCAGCCAAAATTTTATTGAAGGCGAGTATCAAGTTTTTGTATATTTTCGGGCTCTTATTTAATAGTATATAAGTATGATTTCTACAAAATTTATTGCTTTCCATTTACATTTACGCGATGTTTCCAAAGAATTCGTGATTTTATTCTTTGGAGCTTTCTAGCGCGCGTCTCAGCATATTTTTTGCTGAAAATTCGCTGCGCTTGTGTTATAGAAATTTTGATCGCGCACTATTATGTCGCGCGAATTATTTTGTTTATGACATGGTTCAAAAAGCAATCGATACGTTATGCAAAATTTTGCATTTTTCGATGCTTAATAAAACCAGGCTGCGTTTACGCGCCGGTGAGAATGCAATTGTTTGCGTTTCGTTTTGTATATTTGTGGCGCAGTGTATTTGCATCGATACACTGAAGGTAATACGGATGCACGCAATGTTATATTTGCGCAATGTATTTTCCGATTACGAGTTACGATTTGAGAACAGTGTGGAATTTGAAACATTTCTTGTTTCCGTTTAAAATTGTTATTGTATATTTATCATATTTTATCGTAATTTATAGATACCATTAAAACTTTTGACGTTTTTATATTATAACGTGAGTGAACATTTTTTCGCAAAGACTGTTAATTAGAAGTTTGTGGTGAAAGAAAATAAGAAGAGACTGCATGGATGTTGGACAATCGACATAAAGGTGAGGATCCAATTTTCATTTAATATTACAATAATCTGATCTTTAAAAGTACTGTATCTTAGTAAAGATGACGACTTTTTAGCAAGGGTTTGCTTTCTTCTAACTTTTTTGCCAAATTTTGTAGCTTAACTTTTCTTCTTCTGCTGGTTTGCTGTAGAAACCTTTAATTTCTTTCTCGGTTTATGCCAATTACTTCATCATGAGTCTAGAGACGTGGAAAGGCGAGAGATAGTTCAAGATAGAATTAAAACGCGCGATTTTTTCCATCTTCTTTAATTAGATTCATTACTAATTAATTTAATATAAATAAAATCGTGAAAAGTGTCAAGTATAACTTTCTTGTTTAACATCTTATTTATACATAAAAATAATACGTTTAAATTTTTAAAGGACGAGACAACTATATCGTATAAACTGCAAAGGTAAAGTGAAATTGCAAAGAATAATTTCTTTACGATCTTCCGAAACGAATATACTCTTATCTGAGGAATATAATATAGTCTTGTAATATATAATATTCTTCGTACTAATAAAGAAGATCGTGAAGACGTTCGACGGAGAACGATGACGACACAAAACTCTCTAAGCTCGATTTGCACTTATGCTCTCGTCGCACTCTCTTTACTGCTGTGTCTTTAGAAGGGAAACCACAATGCCCAAGCACCTTGCACGGTCACTATGCAGAAATTATCACGCAGCGTAAATTCTCTATTTCTCCGCTTTCGTATCTTTTCTCACCGCCGCCTATTGCAAGAAAGAAAGTAAAATCACAGGAACGAATCAAAAGACAATGCCTATGTATATCGTACAGTGCTATTCGCCGCTGCATTGTCCTTGGGTTTTGTCGATTTCAGGGAAGGAAGCGAGACGTTCGGCGGATTATCGGGGATGCTACGTCAAATACTTTCGCCATCACCCGAGACGGGAGATACCGGTTTACCGGTCACTTGTACCTTGCTTCAGAACAACTCTATGTTCTCCAATCAGTCGTCGATGATGTCCTCAACGTATCAAACCGTCCCATCCCATTTGCCGTCCATTTGTACCGATCAGATTCTCTTGGATCACGTGCAGATCGTCACTGAATCCTATCCGTGTCCCACCTGTGGCCTTGAGTTTCGAAGCGCTCTGAAACTGAATTACCATATAAGAACGAGTCATCCGACTCTGCCGGAGTTCGAGCACAATATAGAGAATCCAATGAGGTACTCGTGCGCCATTTGTTCACGAAGTTTCTACGCTCTGAGTCACTTGCGGATGCACGAGGTGACGCATTCCGCGCCAGTGGCAACCTCCTGCGCACCGATCCCGACCATATCGACGTCGGTGAACGTAGAGAAGACGTTCGCCTGCGATCGTTGCCAAGCTAGTTTCCGGTATCGTACGCTTCTCGAGCGGCACAGGAGGATGCACGAGGTTGGCCAGGAAAAGCCTTATTCCTGCCCTAGGTGCTTAATGCGTTTCGAGACGCGAAACTTGTACAATCATCACGCGAAAACACACAAACCGATCCTGACAGCCAACGATAGGATAACTGACACCGTAGTGTCTTCCGGTGATCCGGTCACTAGCAGTATTAGCGGTACCATGGCATCGTCAAACAAATCGGTAGTCTCGTATCCGTGCGATTCATGCTCGAAACAATTCGCAAGCATCGAGTCATTGACTACCCATAAGGCTGTACATAGGTCCAGGCCGCTCGTATGCGACGTATGTGGCAAGGGTTTTACACATCGCAAGTATTACGTGGTGCATCAACGTATCCATACAGGAGAGAGGCCGTATCTTTGTGCCATGTGTGGCAAATCATTTACACAAGCATCCACGCTTACCGTCCATCGTCGATATCATACTGGAGAACGTCCTTATACCTGCACATTGTGCGGTAAAGGATTCGTTACCAGAACGATCATGCTGAATCACATGAAAAAGCATTGAACTCGATCGTCGTGATCGTACGATAAGAAACGTTTGTCAACCGGGTGTACGTTAAAAAAACGTATAAATTTAATTATTTCGTAAATAACGAAAATACGCAAGATATATCGATATTCGAGTTGTGTTACGGAAGTTTACGATTTTTTTCACGTTATTGTTTAATTGTTGGTTAAATTTTAGTCTGTTATAATGATGGTGCAAGAGCAGTTGCGTATTTGCACTCGTTTCTAATCGCGATAGAAATAGGTATATGTGTATTAGTTAGGAAATTAAATTTCTTTCTACTTTTGAGAAAATTCGGTTCGAAATTGTTATTTTGCTTAACAAAGGTGGTTTCTTTCTAGAAAATCATTCTCGAAGTGCCTTAAATCGCTTAAAAAGTAGAAGATCAATTATAACGCGTATTGCGCGAATTCGTCACAACGATCGTGTAAACATCTTTACAAAATTCAACCATAGTAATAATCTATCGTATTTTTAAATTCGTTGAATTCGACGAATTTGTTAATTAGTACCAGGGGTACATAAACGAAATTATTAACTAATAATTATTATTAATAATTATTAACTAATCTTATGTGTAATATGCATGTCGTCACTGTGATACTGTTTGTTCGTGTATATTCGAAATATTTTAAGCGCTCTAGTATACCTTTTTCGATTTCTTTGACTTTTAGAATCGCGAAATTTTGTTCGAAAATGTCGATTTTAAACACGAAATTTGCTTCAACTAAAATTAG